ACACTGCACTGGCTCCGGTTTCTTCTGCAGTTCCGTTGCCATAGCGTACAGTTCAAATGAACGCACCCATTCCTTCCAGTTTTTCGCCAAGTTCCCTTCCAGCTGCAACTGTCCCGGTGGTTTCAGGCCTGACATTGCAACTTTTATGATCCGTTTTCTGACACCATGTAAAGTTATTCGCTGACGAGCAGCCACAAATGTCTAGTTAACTAGAGTAACTTCACACAAGACACGATCATTTCAGAACAAGCTGGTGAACCCCGAAAGGTCAACTTTAATGTAACCAACAGAGGGCGGTGTTCAGTTTTAGAAGTACATCACACAGTCTAGCTGGCTTGTACCCGTTCATAGGTGTGTAATCGATTGCAAATAAGTGCGATGGTCAATTGGGGCCAGTATTTGATCTGATCGGCCGATCAGCGTTAATAATTGATACAAAAATACCACTTTTCTTGAAAATGACAGTATACCAGGTGCCATGATTTTACAGGATGCTTTACACTGTCATTCACTCACAGTCCAGCAAGGTATTTTAAAATGATTTGGTAATTTTATTGTTTGATGTTTGCAAATGTTGTATTTTCCCTTTAATAATGGTCAACACATAAATTCTTGAAGACCCAAACAAACTGGGTTGTGTAACTGTCAGTTGTGTCGGTAGTAACGGTGCTGAACAGCTATAGTGAGGCATGTTCATCGTCTATTGCTGAATAGAAGTACTGGTGATGTTTCATGCTGATCCACTCTTGAGTTATAGTTAGTGATAGTCGTCATCTAGCTTGTTGGACAGGACAGGTGATATATATGCCACACTCCGCTGTTAGTGCAGCAATGGTTCTTCGGAGTTACAGCAAGTGGTAGTTGTCATGCCTTGTAGTGTAACGGGTGTTATAGTTACTAACAAGTTCAGATGCACGACTGGTGTGGATTAACTGGATTTATTACGTTAAGCTGACCTTATTGACGATTGCTGATTTAATTTTGTTTCATTGATTAATTTCACAGGTAAAAATTTAAGTACAGACAATAAGAACAGTAAAGAAAACAAAAACATGCACATACAGTTAGGAGTGAGAACAAGAAGAAAAAAAAAAGAAAAAAAAGGAACCCCCCTGATGGTTTTAAGAAAGTAAACTAAATAACTATCGTGGTTTACAATTTAACTATATTCCAACGCGACTGGCAGCCATCTTAAAAGATATCCCAGCATGCCTAGTTCTAGTCTTATCAGGCGCGGTTCTACGGGGGGAGCTAGGGGGGTGGGGGGCTGTACCCCCCCCCCCCCAAAAAATTGTCTAGCCCCCCCCCCCCCCAAACAAATAATTTCCTTAAAAAAAAATTGAATTAGCAAAAAGAAGGATTGTGATGTACATGCGAACGGTCTCCCCCTAAAGAATAAATAGCCGTGACAAGGGTGCATTAGTTAATATAGTGTGAATGATTTTATGATTTTATTGGCGCTCCCCATTAAAAACATGGCATGAGCCCCCCCCCCCCCCCCCCATTGATTTTCGGAGACCTAAGTGTCTGGAAAAAAAATAACCGGTCAACATTTCAGCACGCCTCCCTGAAAAAAAATCTGGATCCACCGTGCTAGCCCCCCCCCCCCAAATATTGGTTCTATAACCGCGCTTGAGTCTTATTAACATATGATAATTGGGCGACAGCTCTACATGGTATCGTAAGGGCGCGAGAGAGATAAAATTACGTAAACACAAAACTTAGTGCCTTTTCGCTTGACATCGAAATCAAAATCTAGCTGTCACCTTCTGATTGCTTAAACATATGAAACAAATCTTCTATGGCTTTATCCAAAATGTCTGGGATCTCATTTTAAATAAAATACATACATACTAACAAGTAAGGCATTTTTTCTGCACATTCAGCTTCATGGGAGGAACTGTTTTAGGCGGTCACTAATAATTTGCGTCAAATCAACTCAGTTGAATTCACAAGTTTGTCAGGTTTACGGAATTAAGAGTTTGCAAATGTTGTATTTTCCCTTTAATATTGGTCAACACATACATTCTTGAAGATCCAAACAACTGGGTTGTGTAACTGTCAGTTGTGTCGGTAGTAACGGTGCTAAACAGCTATAGTGAGTCATGTTTGTAATGAATGTGTGCATTCATGATGTAACTATGCCACTTATAATTATGCATAGCGCCCTCTATTGTCTAGAGCACATAGCCATGTGAGATTGTAGTCCATGTAGGCAGCCATCTTGTTTAGACTCAATACACTATTCTTAGCTAGCTGAAACATCTCAAGTGTGCTTCTTATTCAATCCGATACATCCGATCTTTACATGGTGTCGGAAGTAAAGTTTGACAAACCTCATTAAGCATGGATAACATCAGGCCCCCAGATGGACTCAGAATGGATGGACATAATGCTGAAAATTGGAGGAAATGGAAGCAGAGATTTCAGCTGTATATGACTGCATCAGGTATGGAGAAAAAATCGATGCATGTGCAGTGCTGCACCTTGCTGCATGTCATTGGAGAAGAAGCACTTGAAGTGTACAATACCTTCACATTTGACAGTGATGAGGATAGAGACAAGCTAGAAATCCTCCTCAAGAAATTCACTGAATACTTTGAGCCACAAAGGAATGTGACCTATGAGAGACATGTGTTTAATACACGCTTTCAAGCTCCAGGCGAGTCATATGATCAGTTTGTCACCGACCTAAAGAAACAGGCACAGACATGTGAGTTTGGGACATTACTTGATAGCCTTATCAAGGACAGAATTGTCGTTGGCATCCAAGATGATGCAACTAGAGCCAGACTACTTCGTGAGAAAGATTTGAATCTGCAAAGAGCGATAGAAATTTGCAGAGCTGCCGAAGCAAGCAAGTCACAGCTTGGGCAAATAACATCTGTAGGGGCACAGAGCACAGTCCATGCAATTCGCAAACCAAACCAAACTCACAGAGCAACGAGGCCTGATAGACATGATAGATATGGATCAAAAGCATGTAAATACTGTGGCAGGCAACATGAACGAGGACATTGTCCGGCATATGGACAGACATGTAATAAGTGTGGTAAACAAAACCACTTTGCTGATGTTTGCATGTCCCAAGAAAACGCACACCTGGCAGAAAACATGCATCCAAGACAGTGCATGGAATTGAACATTCTGACTTTGACTCTGATACAGAAGAGGAATTCTTCGTAGATATGGTGAAATTACAAGATCACCACACATCAGCCGATTGAATGCTTGACTTGAAAGTCGCGAGTCGCACTGTACGGTTCAAACTAGACACCGGTGCACAGTGCAATGTCATACCTGAGAGTGTGCATAACAAGCTATGCACTAAGCTACAACGCTCACGTGAACGGTTGAATTCCTTCTCTGGTGACAAAATGAAACCCAGTGGGAAATGCACCATGCTCTGCGAATACAAGGACAAAATGTTTGACGTAGAGTTTCAAGTTCTTCGTGGAAGAGTGCAACCAATTCTCGGGCTGACCACATGCGAACGACTGGGATTGATCAAGCGCATTGAAACACTTGAGAACAATACTGGCCCTGACATGCTCAACAAATATGATGTATTTGAGGGTCTGGGATGCCTTGAGGGCAAACAACATCTCCATGTGAAACCTAAAGCAGCACTAGTCATTCATGCACCCAGAAAAGTGCCAGTGGCTATGCGTGACAAAGTCCAGGATGAACTAAAAAGAATGGAGAAGCTGGGCGTGATCGTGAAAGAAGAGCAGCCTACCCAGTGGGTCAATAGCATGGTGGTGGTCCATAAAAAAGGAACTGACAAGGTACGCATATGCTTAGACCCCAAAGATTTGAATGACGCACTACGCAGAGAACACTATCCAATGAAAACAGTCGAAAAAGTTGCTGCAAGAATGCCACATGCAAAAGTCTTCAGCACACTTGATGCCAATTGCGGCTATTGGCAAATTCAACTAGATGAAGAGAGTTCCAAGCTATGCACCTTCAATACACCGTATGGTCGTTACCGTTACCTACGCATGCCCTTTGGCATCAATACAGCCCCAGAGATTTTTCAGCGAGCAATGAATCAGATCTTTGAAGGCTTTGAATGTGTGGAGGTCATCATGGATGACATTCTAGTATGGGGTGAAAATGAGACGCAGCATAATGAACGACTGGAACGCGTACTGCAGCTCGTTGCGGAGAGAAACATGAAGCTCAATCCTCGCAAATGTCGCTTCAAAGTCGCAAATGTCACATACATTGGCCATACGCTCACCCCAGAAGGGCTGAAACCAGACAAGCAGAAAATACGAGCAATCACGAGCCTGCAAGAGCCATCCAACAAAACTGAACTTCAGCAATTCCTTGGTATGATTAATTACCTTGGAAAGTTTGTACCCAACATGGCTGGCATCACAGCTCCGCTCAGAAAGCTACTGGAGAAAGACATTGCATGGCACTGGACATCCGAGCAACAGTTCAGCTTTGATAAGCTGAAGAAGCTGGTCAGTGAAGCACCAGTTTTGCAGTATTATGATGTTGCTAAACCAGTGTTAGTCAACACAGATGCCTCCAAAGATGGTGTAGGGGCTGTCCTACTCCAGGATAACAAGCCAGTGGCATATGCATCAAAAGCCCTCTCCCCAGCTCAGCGTCACTATTCACAAATCGAAAAGGAGCTGTATGCAATTACTTTTGGATGTGAACGATTCCATCAGTATTTGTTTGGCCGAAGCTTTGTCGTGGAGACTGATCATAAACCGCTCGAGGCGATCATGAAAAAATCGCTGGAACAAACGCCGCCTCGACTTCAACGCATGCTCCTCAAACTACAGAAATACCAGGTGGATGTGCGCTACCGAAAAGGAACTGAACTTGTAGTTGCAGATGCACTCAGCCGCAACTTCCCACCATACATCCCTGACCCCGAGGACGACAACAGTGAAATCCCGGTATGCATGATAACTTGCCCACCAATGTCAGCTTAAAGGATATCAGAACTTCAGCGTGAAACCGCAAATGAGCCAGTTATGCAGCAGTTGGCAGCAACTATTCGTGAGGGTTGGCCTGACCTGAAGTCACAAGTATCAGCCAACCTTGCACCCTACTGGAACTTTTGCGAACAGCTCACACTTGAAGAGGATCTCATCTTCAAAAATGACAAAGTTATCATCCCAGCAAGCCTGACCAAACTCATGCTAACCAAAGTACATCAAAGTCACCAAGGAATCGAGAAAACGAAGCGGTTAGCACGAGGTATCATGTTCTGGCCAAACATGTCTGCGCAGATAACTGACATGGTTAGTCGATGCCCGATATGCAGTGCTAACCAACACAAAAATCGCAAAGAGCCAATGGTACCACACGAGTTTCCTCTCCGACCATGGCAGAAAGTTGGCTCTGATTTGTTCGAGATAGGGACTGAACAGTACATGGTGTTGGTTGACTACTACTCGAACTTCATCGAGGTCAACAAACTTGCCAGCACCAAGTCTTCAGCAGTAATCACTTGCTGCAAGCAACAGTTCTCACAATATGGGATCCCTGATGAGCTCATTACCGATAATGGCCCCCAATTTACATCTGCAGAGTTCAGGCAGTTCACCAAGGACTATGGCATAAAACACACGTGTGTACAACGTCATCACCGCTGTACCCCCAGTCCAATGGCAGAGCAGAAAAAGCAGTTCAGATAGCAAAAAATCTCATCAAAAAAGCAAAGGTGGATAAAGCTGATCCACATCTTGCACTTCTGGACTACAGAAACACACCACGTGATGGGCTTCCCTCTCCAGCACAATTATTCCTTGGTCGCAGAACACAACCCAACTCCCTACCTCTGCAAAACTACTGGAACCGCACACGTTTACTGGAATACCACAACAGCTGCACAAGCACCAGATGAAGCAGAAATACTACTACGACCAGAGCTCCAAGCCACTCCCTCAGCTGAGTCCAGGAGACAAAGTTCACGTGCGGGAGGAGAAAACATGGAAACCAGTAGTAGTCTCCAGCAACGCGGATGCACCTCGGTTCTATATTGTCACCAAACCAAATGGACACGCATATCGCAGAAACAGGAGAGATCTCAGCAAATCCTACCGCCATGACCAGCCGGACGACACAGCGAACTCTGGCCAACCTCTGAATTCCAACAATGACAATCAAGGGCAAATACAAACTGCCTCATCCCCCACAACCACTCGATATGGACGAACTATCAGACTGCCATCTTACTTGAACACTTTGTTGCCTAAACCGAACAAAGCACTAATGCCAGTCACTTGTAAAATCAGAGTGCTTTCAAAACATATGCAAAAAATTCAAGACAGAGATTGAATAATGTTTTGAAATTTGCTACCCAAAAAAAAAAAAAAAAAAAAAAATTGTTTTTTGTTTTTTGTTCTTCTGGCAATTTTTTTTGTTCCTAAGGCAATCTCATTTCAATTGCCATTCTTTGAAAGTCATATGCAAAGAATCTAAGCAAAGATTGATGGGTCAAAGTATGTAAAAAAAAAAAAAGCAATCTCATTTAAATTTCCATAATTGCTAAAAAAAAAAAAAAAAAACCAAAAAAAACAGATAACAGTTAAAAGAAATCTGTTCTAAAACAAACAAAAAGTAGACAGTTAGAAGTTTAGTTCAAATGTTGAGGATTAAGAAGTTATTTTAAAGTTGTACTCTACCCAGCTTTAGTTAATCTCCTTTATCAAGTGCATGTAGATAAGTATTTGGCTTAAAAGGGGAGATGTAATGAATGTGTGCATTCATAATGTAACTATGCCACTTATAATTATGCATAGCGCCCTCTATTGTCTAGAGCACATAGCCATGTGAGTCGTAGTCCATGTAGGCAGCCATCTTGTTTAGACTCAATACACTATTCTTAGCTAGCTGAAACATTTCAAGTATGCTTCTTATTCAATCCGATACATCCGATCATTACATCGTCTATTGCTGAATAGAAGGACTGGTGATGTTTCATGCTGATCCACTCTTGAGTTATAGTTAGTGATAGTCGTCATCTAGCTTGTAAGACAAGACAGGTGATATATGCCAACACTCCGCTGTTAGTGCAGCAATGGTTCTTCGGAGTTACAGCAAGTGGTAGTTGTCATGCCTTGTAGTGTAACGGGTGTTATAGTTACTAACAAGTTCAGATGCACGACTGGTGTGGATTAACTGGATTTATTACGTTAAGCTGACCTTATTGACGATTGCTGATTTAATTTCATTTCATTGATTAATTTCACAGGTAAAAATTTAAGTACAGACAATAAGAACAGTAAAGAAAACAAAAACATGCACATACAGTTAGGAGTGAGAACAAGAAGAAAAAAAAAAAAAAAAAAGGAACCCCCCTGATGGTTTTAAGAAAGTAAACCAAATTACTATCGTGGTTTACAATTTAACTATATTCCAACGAGACTGGCAGCCATCTTAAAAGATATCACAGCATGCCTAGTTCTAGTCTTAATAACATAATAATTGGGTGACAGCTCTACATGGTATCGTAAGGGCGCCAGAGAGAAAAAATTACGTAAACACAAAACTTAGTGCCTTTTCGCTTGACATCGAAATCAAAATCTAGCTGTCACCTTCTGATTGCTTAAACATAATGAAACAAATCTTCTATGGCTTTATCCAAAATGTCTGGGATCTCATTTGTATAAAACACATACATACTAACAAGTAAGGCATGCTTTCTGCACATTCAGCTTCATGGGAGGAACTGTTTTAGGCGGTCACTAATAATTTGCGTCAAATCAACTCAGTTGAATTCACAAGTTTGTAGAGTTTACGGAATTAAGAGTTTGCAAATGTTGTATTTTCCCTTTAATATTGGTCAACACATACATTCTTGAAGATCCAAACAACTGGGTTGTGTAACTGTCAGTTGTGTCGGTAGTAACGGTGCTAAACAGCTATAGTGAGTCATGTTCATCGTCTATTGCTGAATAGAAGGACTGGTGATGTTTTATGCTGATCCACTCTTGAGTTATAGTTAGTGATAGTCGTCATCTAGCTCGTTGGACAGGACAGGTGATACATATGCCACACTCCACTGTTAGTGCAGCAATGGTTCTTCGGAGTTACAGCAAGTGGTAGTTGCCATGCCTTGTTGTGTAACGGGTGTTATAGTTACTAACAAGTTCAGATACACGACTGGTGTGGATTAACTGGATTTATTACGTTAAGCTGACCTTATTGACGATTGCTGATCGTGGTTTACAATTTAACTATATTCCAACGTGACTGGCAGCCATCTTATAAGATATCCCAGCATGCCTTGTTCTGGGCTTATTCACATATGATAATTAGGTGACAGCTGTACATTGTATCGTTAGGTATGGTATAGTTGTACAGGACATGAGTAGTATGAGATGGGGGGGTACGGCGACAAACCCAATGACCTCTGCCCCCTGGCCCGTCTCTGATCTCTAGCCCCTCCCTCTGACCACGCGCCCACCCCACCCGCCCCTCCCAATGATCTCCCTCTCCCTCCCAATGATCTCTCTCCCAATGATCTCCCTTCCAAATATATCTCTCTCAATATCTCAGTCTCGAAATAAGGCCAGGCCCTCTATATTTATATTTTTCATTTTTGATCTTGTGTTAAATTCGACTCGTACAAGTCTACTCCAACCCTGACTTGCAAAATATGAAGTGACTAAGGGTGACACACTTTTGCAGTGGGGGTAAACATCTATTGAAATTCAATGGACCGTGATAAATTGCTTTTGTTAGTTGGGGCAGCCAGGATATGACTCATCGCATACGTCAGAATCAAACAATGGTTGCTATTTTTAGTTCCTATATAAGCCAGATACCCTCACAGCGGATGGCCAGTCGGATTTATAAGGCGGAGTTCAGTGGTATCTAATCATATCAAGACTCGACAGCACTGTACAACTGTATAGCTTCATTTCCAAATACGAGCAGCTAAATTACCAACAGACCAACTTTCAAAGGTAATTATAATACGCTTATAACGTGTATTTTTTATACATCAGGTGTCCAATATGTCAGGGTGATTTGTGTGTAAAAGGCGTAAACCATAGGCGTCTTTACTTGTCAGCGGCCCCGAACACGTTGTAGTTGCGTCTTTTGCAATTTAGCATGCCAGATGAGAGAAAGGATGATTAGGCCCCAAATTATTATTACTGTATGTTTGTGTGTAACAAAATTCACTTATTAAGGCCTATTTCTCTTTTTTTTTCAGATGAACTGTCCATCTAGTGTTGTAGATGTTACATACGGGCAAGATTTTGTCACATTGGCAAACAGCATGGTCAACACGGTGGGTGAATGGATCGTGGTCAAAAAAGGAGATTTGACTCAGCAGTTAAAGAATGCAAAAACCTTTTGATATATGACAAACCAAAAAGCTATTTAAATGAGCTAATTTGAATAACAAAGAAAAAGCCACTCGGAGTGGTTTTTTACTGTATATATTAAGATGTATGAAAAGCTATTTAAATGAGCTACTTTGAATAACAACGAAAAAGCCACTCGGAGTGGCTTTTTACTGTATATAATTAAGATGTATGAAAAGCTATTTAAATGAGCTAATTTGAATGGCAACAAAAAGCCACTCAGAGTGGCTTTTTACTGTATATATTAAGATGTATGAAAAGCTATTTAAATGAGCTAATTTATACAGTAAAAAGCCACTCAGTGGCTTTTTACTGTATAAATTATAATATATGAATATCAAATGAGCTTATTTGAATGACAACAAAAAAGCCACTCAGAGTGGCTTTTTACTGTATATATTAAGATGTATGAAAAGCTAATAAAATGAGCTAATTTATACAGTAAAAAGCCACTCTGAGTGGCTTTTTACTGTATAAATTATATTATATGAATATCAAATGAGCTAATTTGAATGACAACAAAAAAGCCACTCGGAGTGGCTTTTTACTGTATAAATTATAATATATGAATATCAAATAAAGAGAACGTATGAATGATAGTTTTATCAAGTCCAAGTTCAATTATAATACAAAATCAATAGAGGGCGCTAATGGATATCAAAATAATATAAACAGAGGGTGGTATAATAAATGATCGATTTATCGAGTCCAAGTGCAATTATAATAAAAGAAATCAACAGAGGGCGCCATTCATTGGTGGTGAGGTATTATAAACAGAGGGCGGTATTTTATTTTATGATAAGGGTTATTGTACCGATAAAAAACAGAGGGCGCTATTAATGGGCACTAAGAGATCTGATTTCAATTATATAAAGAAACAGAGGGCGATATTTAATTCTTTATTTAAAAATGCAATCATTTTTATTTAAAGTTTATTAAATAGATGGAATACTTTGGGACGTCACAACTTGGGGATAAGTGCGATCATCATAAAATCATCGAGAATGGTTTTTTAGTTTGTGAAACGTGCGGTGAAATAGTCTCACGTTACTTTGATTTTTCGGCAGAAAATGCGCAAGAAGATCGTATCAATTGGTCAATTTTAAAAAGAAACAAAAGAAAAACTGTGGAGAAACTTATTTTGTCTGTGTGCCCAGAGCAAGACTTAGAAGATGTCCAAGAAACAATCAATAAATATAACGAGCTCGTTAATTACAAAACATTGAGGGGAAACGGATGTGTCAAACGGTCGTTAATAGCCGCGAGTTTCCATCACGTCGTTGGATTAGACAAAGAACGAGTTAGAGATTTATTTAAAG